GCCTTTCTGCTCCTATGATGCTGCTTGGCCTGCTGTGTTCATCCAGCTCTGCACCTTGTTGTCTCAGATTCTCCAGCATCTGCAGTTCCTACTATCTCTCACACTCTTCTAGCCTCCCACTTGCTGAAGGTCGCTTTGCCTCCGAACAAACTACTCCAAATCAACCTCTGCAAACTCTTGTCTAATTCCATCAAAATTTGCCTTGCCCCAATTTAGAACTTGAACCTGTGGACCAGTTTTGTCCCTCTCCATAACAATTTTATAATTAATAGAACTATGGTCACTGGTCCAAAGTGCTCCCCAACTGTCACCTCAGTCACCTGTCCTCCCCCATTTCCCAACAGACTTTTTGTCCTTTCCTGAGTAGGACCCTTTATATATTGCTTGAGGAAACTTTCCTGAACACTTTAATTCCACCCCATCTAAGCCCTTAACACTATGGCAGTCCCAGTTTACGTTAGAAAAATTAAAATCCCCTACTATGTCAACTCTATTGTTCCTGCAAGTCTCCCCTAACTCCCTGCATATTTGTTCCTCTAATTCCTGTTGACTATTTGGGGGCCTGTGGTACTACAGCACTAATAATGTCACCATCCCCTTCTTATTTCTTAGGTCCACCCACAAAGCCTCACTGGACAATCCCTCAGTTATTTAATCTCTGACTACTGCTGTGACATTCCCCTTAATCAAAAATGCACTCCCCCTCCACTCTTTGCTCCACCTTTGTCCCACTTAAAGCACTCTTGCAGGTTGTGCCGGTCACATTTCCATCTCCAGTTAACTGCCTTGGGAGAATGGAATTGAACTTGCTGTAAATTGAAGATATTGGAACGCTCTTGCTCTTCCTGGCTCCATAAAGACCTCAAATAATAAGAAACTTATTTTTCATTGATCACCAACAGACTATTTGGTGATTCAAACAAAAGAATAGTGGATACTGGAAATCTGAAACAAAACAGAAAATGCTGGAGAAACTCAGCAGGCCTGGCAGCATCTGTGGAGAGGAAGGAGTTAACATTGAGTCCTGTGACCCTTCTTTAAAAGTCCAAAGGGTCACTGGACTCTCCACAGATGCTGCCAGACCTGTTGAGTTTCTCCAGAAATTTGTTTCTGTACTCAGTGATTAGTTTCACCAAGTGGTCCTTCAACAGGTGCTAGCTCCTGAATTATACTGGATGTTTTTGGAAAGTATCCCATAACATTAATATGAAATAAGTGCATTCATAGGCCATTCAATGTTTGGAGCCTGCTCTGCCATTCAGTTGGGTCACAGATGATCCTCTGGATTAAGCACAGACATTAGTTCTAAAACCAATTTGGTGTATCTAACAATAGAATATCTATAAGACTAAGATATGGGAGAAGAATTAGGCCATTCGGCTCAACGAGTCTGTTCGGCCATTCTGCCACAGCTGAAAGATTTCTCAATACCATTCGTCTGCATTCTCCCAGTAACACTTGCTCTCCTCACTAATCAAGAAAATATCTCTGTCTTAAAGCTGAATGCAAATCAATTTTGATCTGTGTGAATACTGCATGTTACAGCCCTGTTGTTTTTGATGATTAAAAGTAGTGCTCATCCAAAGGTAAACACTGTAGCATTTTAAGAGAATGTTATTATGAAGCTACATACAACAGATCAGAAGAAGTTATTTGATTAGCAAAAAAGGAAAACAATAACAATCTCTATATTAGCATAGCCGTTACTCAAAGAGTAACAAACTTGTCATTGATCTTTAACAATTATGAAAGAAGAGGAAATCAGCAGGTAGATTATCCTTCCTCAAATTTATTAGATTTCCTCAAGTTATTACCCACAAATGCAGAGATAAACAGGCTTAGCATATACCTTTTGGAATTCTTTTGCTTTTTCACTATTTCTGGCGCACACTATTTGTCTGGTCACTTCTTTTTTCCTGTTTTTCACCTCATCAAGTTGGCTGTAGAGACTGCAAGGAATGAACATTATGGTAATACAAGGGAATTAATGAAGGGATCTTGTGGCACTGTACTGGTGTCCCTACCTTTGAGCCAGAACATCTTAGTTCATGTCCCACCTGTCCCAGAGGCATGCCATAACATGTCTAAATATGAAAAATAATTATCAATGAAATTAATGAAAGGATGAGCAAAGAGCAGCCCCAGAGCCTTTGCTTAAAATCAGTAGTTTAAACAAGGTGGTAATTGGATTTATAAAAGACAACAGAATCAGGTGGGTTATGGATTGGAAACTTCTGTGCACAATGTAGGTGGGTATTTAGTGTACAAATGTCTCCAGCTGATTGAGTTCATGCTCAGAATTTCCAAGATTGAGGGGGGCTTTCCCTGGTAGCCTAATGGTTAGGATTCTCTGCTCCCACTGCCATGGTCAAGGTTCAATTCTCAGTCAGGTAATGGCAATTTATTGCTCTGGTGCAATTTGTCTGAATAAAGCTAAAACTGAGGAAGGAACTCTTGGGGTGTGGTGGTAGAATCTCCACTTCTAAGCCAGGAGATCCAGGCTCAAATCCTACATGCTCCAGAGGTGGAGATACATCTCTGAACAGGTTGATTAAACCTCCAAGGTTGAGAGGAAGATGGAATCACAATGAAGCACCTTGTTGAAATATACATTCCAGGAGGTGGTCATCTCAGAGCCAGAGTGTGTTCAGGACAGCCATCTAGAATCTGTCACAGATTCTTCATGGTCTATACTACTCAAATCAGTACTGAGTAAAGGTAAGTTTTGGGAGAGATGATACCTTGGGTAAGGGTAATGCCACCACTGTAGGAGTTCCAAAGTCAGATGAACAAACAAATGCTTCAGAAGCTGTTACTGTGACCCTTAATGTGTGTTGCCTCCTTGCTGCTGGTGTAACTGATATCTTACAGTCAAAGCATACACAGGTACTAAATAGAGAAGGTATTAAGGCTGTATATTGAGAATTTCAGCAGGTAGAGAGTAGGTTTAAAAAATAGGATTTTGAAAACAGTAATCTCTGCAGTTGTCCCAGCACCTTGCAACAAAAGTAGAAATAGGAAAACAGACAATCAATGCCTGATACAGAAGGAAGGGCTTTATATTCTTTCAATGTTGACGCCAATTTTATTCAAGAAGGACAGAATTCACTTCAACAGGACTGGGACCAATCCACTCATAGCAAAGATTCCTAATGTCAGGCCAACAAGATATGAAGCAGATTATAAATTGCGTTAAGAAACTAATTTCTTGATTAAATTTTTAAATAGACTTTGCTGGACTAAAACATAGTTGTTTTTAATCAGATAATATAAAGAGACTATAATTCTGGAAAGCTCCAATCAGTAATTATGAGGACACAGCTCAGATATCATCCTTCCGGAATTGCTCACTCCTGCATCATGCAGCTTTTGCTATTTGCAAAAGTAAAAGACCGGTGGAAGAGGTCTTCCCAGCAGGATCTGTTATACAGAGAAAGCTATTTACTAGCAATTAACTCTCTCTATACAGCACTATCTTGGGTCAGGCACTGTTGCCCACCTGGGCAAGGTGACCCACCTAACACTGCCCCAGGTGGTTAGGATGTTGGTGGTTTCCAGGATTTTAATGACTTTGTTACAGTCCTGCCAGCAGATACTGAGGATGCTGCGGAGGTAAGGCTCATGGAAGTGCTCCAGAAAGTGAGCATATTGGTGGTACAGGAACCAATCGCAGTACAATACAGAAGGGTGGTGAGAAGTATGGCTTTGTATGATTTGTGCTCTGAAAACATGGATGCTCTGTGCACATTTATAAAGTCTTCAAAATGTGCCTTTGCTTTAGAAAGCCTATTGTCCATGTCCTTGTCCAAGGTAGCATCAAACAAGATGACACCCCTCAAACAAACACTCCCCAAATCGATAAAATTAGTTGACAGCATTCAACTTTGGTCCCTTGAGGACAATGTTTGGTGGTTTATAATGTCCTTAGAGAGCAGGATGATGTAGGAATTTAGTTTTCATGAAACTGCTTTTTAGTCCTAAACAGTCACTTTAGAAAGCATGCTACACTGGGTGAGCACAATCACTGGCAAAAAAAAGTTAATGAATGAGTTTTTCTGTGTCTTTGTGTGAAGCTGAAAAGCCCTCCATCAGTCCAGAAGTGTATGTGAATCCCCTCCTTAAAAAAGTCTGTAAGGTCATTGCCTACAGCAGCATCATACTAAAGATGATGGTGAATAAGGTCAGGGTGAGTACACATCCTGGCTCATGTCATTGGAGTTTCAGAAGGAATTTGAGAGGACACCGTTGTATTTTAATTGGGGATATCTTATAGGTCTCCAAATAGAGTGAAAATGATCAGCAAATCCGCATGAAAATCAGACGTGCAAGAACTATTCAGAGGTACTACAAGCGGATATTAGTTACTGAAGTATTGATTGGGATACTGAAATACATTTAGGACAGCATCTTCATAAGCACATTCTCCATCCAAACAGGAAGCAAGCATTGCTAGATCTCGTGCAGAGAACTGAGCTGGGCCAAGTGGACTAAGAGTCTATGGGGAAATACGTGGGTAATAATAATCATTCTGCAGAAAAAAGTAATTAAGAATGTCTAAATTGGATAAGGCAAACTTCAAATTAGACAAAAGCAGATTTTACCAGGAAACAAATTGACATGGAAAAGGCAGGTTAAGTGCATTGCAAAGGGAAAGGCAAGTTATCAAAGAAGCCTAGCTTTGGTTGAGGGAGATAGAGGATATGATGAAATCAAAAACTAAAGTGCACGATGCATATCGGATGAATTCTTTAAGTGAAAATCAGGCCAAATAAATTAAGTTTGGAAGAGAGATGAAGAAGAAAATATAATGGGCAAAGAGAGGAAAAGAGAACACAACAGTGTTAACAGAAAAAAGGGAACCTAAACATCTTTCAATAGCAGGTAATCAGTAAGTGGGTTAAAAGTTATTGCACCATCCAACAGAAGCAAATACATGTCTAGGGGCATAATACATGCTTACAGTCAGGCAGCAAGGCTGGTACACTTGAATACTTATTCTTGTGTTTACAAAGGAACAGGATGCTGACAAAAATATCAGGAAAAGAAGAAATATAGAGGTAATGAATGGGGTCAAAATTAGTAGGAAAGACGTACTGGAGAAGCCAGCCAAATCGAGAACAGATAACACATTTAGTCTGGATGGCTTGCATCCTAGGTTGCTAAAGGAACTGAGAGTAGTAATAACAATTTGATGAGTCAACTCATCCACTGGGTCTCCTCGGTCAAACTTGCTCATTACCACCTCAAAAGAATTCTAAAAGATTTGTGAGGCATGACTTTCCCATGACATCCTGACTCAGCCCTATTTTACCACGCATTTCCAAGTAATCCGCAATCTCATCCTTAATTATTGACTCTAAACTCTTACCAATGACTGAGTCTGGCTAACCAGCTGTAGTTTCCTGTCTTCTGCCTCCCTCCCATCTGAAATAGGCATGTTACATTAGCCATTTTCCCATCCTTTGGGACCCTCCCTGACTCCAGTGATTCCTCAAAGATCACCACCAATGACTTAACAATCTCTTCAGATATCTCCTTCAGAATGCTTGGGTGTAGTCCACATGGTCCATGTTATTTATCCACCTTTAGACCTTTCAACTTTCCATCATTTTCTCCTTAGTCACAGTCACTACAATCAGATCTGCCCCTTACTCTCTTGAAGTTCGGGTATGCTGCTGTCGTCTTCTAGTGAGAAAACTGATATAAAAGCACCTATTCATTTCACCTGCTGTTTCTTTGCTTTCTATTACTACTGCTCCAGTCTCATTTTTCCATGATCCAATGTCCCCTCTTGCCTCACTCTTACTTTTTATATATCTAAAAAACCTCTTTCCATCTTCTTTTATATTACTCACTCACTCAGCTTCATTTTTCATATTCTCCTCTTATTGCGTTTTTTTTAAGTTATCTTCTGCTAATTTTTAAAGGCTTTCCAATCCTTTGGCTTCCCACTAATCTTCACCACATTGTATGGTTTTTCTCTTGCTTTTATGATATCCCTGACTTCCCTTGTCAGACATGGTTGCCCCGTGCACCTCTCCTTGGGATGAATTTCTGTTGTGCCTCCTGAATTAACACCAGAAACATATGCCTTTGCTGGTCCACTGTCTTCCTTGCTAGACTTACCTTCCAATCAACCAACTATGGCCAGCTCCTCCCTGTCATCTTTGTAATTATCTTTATTCAATTGTAATACTATTATATCAGATTCCAACTCCTCTCTCTCAAACAGCAGGGTGAATTCTATCATATTATGGTCACTGATCCCAGGCTCCCTAATCAAGTCTCATTACACACCACCAAATTCAGAAATGCCTGTACTGTAGTGGGTTCTACCACAAGCTGCTTGAATTATTTTCTTCCTCACATCCTGGACTACTACTAGGAGGTCTGTATGCAACTTCCATCAGGGTCGTCTTTGCTTCGCAGTTCCTCAACTCCGTCCAGACAGATTCTAATATCTTTTGACCTTGTATTGCTTCTAGCTATTGACTTAATTTCATTTCTTACTGACAAGGTAACCCTGTTCCCTCTGCCCATCTGCCTGTCCTTTCAAGAGGGCACATATTCTTGGATATTTAGTTCCTTGCCCTGATTCCTTCCAGGCATGTCTCTGTGATACCCACAACATCTTAGCTACCAATTTCCATGCTACAAGCTCATTTACCTTGTTTTGTATACTGCATGCATTTTACTACAACACCTTCAGTCCTGCATTGACTGCTTCCTTTCTCATAGCTGTCCCCTTATCTGCTGTGCATAAAGTTAGATTCCTAACCCTTTTTATACTTTGTCCTATTACTAGTTTTGGAAACTTTAATAACCTTGGCTGCAACACCCGTCACCTGTCACCCCCGACTCCCCACCCCCCGGCCATCTTTTAACTTTTATCATGTAACTGAATGACCTCTCAACTGTTTGGTTTATTTAATAAGGCTATCAACAAAACAATATTTCTCTTCCAGTTCAACACTGGCTGACTGTGTTTCCTTATACGTTGGGAAATGCAGTAGCTAATAAGTGAGGATTGCTGCACAGAAAGAGATAAGATGCCCACCTAAAGTTCTTTGTGGGCTGTGATCTTCCCCTTTCTGTCCTTAATACTCTACTATGAGCATCCTGAGAGTTAGAATTGGCCAAAAACTAAACTGGGCTAGCCATATAAAAACTTTGGCTACAAGAGCAGGTTAGAGACTAGGACTTCTGCTACAAGTAATTCACCTCAACTCACATCTCCCCAGTGCCTGCCTACCATTTACAAGGCACACGTCAGGAGTTTGACGGAATTCTATGCATTTGCCTGAATGGGTGCAAAAACATTCAGCAAGTGTGGCACCATCCAGGAAAAAGCATAATTTCTCAAGTTGTGGATGACTCCAACAATAAGGAGGATTGCAATAAACTACAAGAATATATTAATAAGCTTGCAGAATGGGCATTTATTCACAGGAGTGAAGTAAGGTAAGCAGTCTCTTTACTGCAAGTTCTGGTATTCCATCCTTAACTGCCACTCTCTACGTCTTTCTTCTTTGTTGAAGTGGTCAATAAAATCTACATCTTTGACTAAGCTTTTAGCCATCTGACTTAAGATCTCACATAAATCACTGTCAAATTTTGTTCAATAATGCACTTCTGAAACTCTTTGGATATTTTACGACATTAATGACGGTAATGGAACGCAATTTGTTGTAGACATACCTATGAAACATACCACATTGAAATTACACTTGGTCACTCTTCTGATTTTGTCTGTCATTGGGTTTTAGGGCCTAAACTCTCCCATGTCCCAGCCCCCTACCCCACACACCAGGCCTTGTTACCACATAGCTGCCATTACGCACCCCCTGTTGTTAGTCATTAACATTCCCCATTAACAACTATTCACCCTCCCAGCCTGATCGTTAGAAACTCCTTTGTCTGTCCAACTGTCTTTCTCTCTCTTTGGGCTCTATCCTATTGTTTACTCCCTATTTTCTGCATACAAACTGACGTTTTCCCAGCCACTATCAGTTCTGAGGAAGGGTCACCGGACCCGAAACGTTAACTCTGTTTTTTCTTTCACAGATACTGCCAGACCTGCTGAGCTTTTCCAGCAACTTTTTGTCATTGGTTATTCAGTTGCATTGAAATCAGGGCAATAGACAAAAGGTACTGACTCAAAATCTTGATATAGCATCAGTTTGGGTGGAACTAAGAAGCAAAAAAAAAATAGAAAACATTGGTGGGAATTTTCTACAGGCTTTGTTTTCTACAAGAATAATGTGAAGGATGTGGCAGTGTTAAACTGGCAGTTAGGCAAGTGTGCAATAAGGGTATTATAGTAAGCATGGATGTACATCTAGATTTTACAAACTACATTAGCAATAATACTGTTGTAGATGACTTGCTAAAGCATGTATGAGGATTTTATTTTAAAAAATCTAGTGTGTTGAACGACCAGCTAGGAAACATCCTATTACGGATTTAGTATTATTTAATGAGAGATTAGGTAATAATCTCATTGTGTAGTGTCCTTAAAGGAAAGGCAACCATTTCACGGCCTAATTAATCTAAATCTAAACAAAAATTTACAAAGGTATGAGGAGAGAGTTGGCACGAATAGACTGGGTAACTTCATTAAAAAGGCATGATGATGGACAGGCAATGGCTAATATTTAAAGAATAAATGTGTGCATTGCAAAAAGTCAACAGGAAAAGTAGCCCAACCATTTCTAACAAAAGAAACCAAGGAGAGTATTGGGTACAAAGATAAATTTAATAAATTTACTGGAAAAATTCTAAGAGGAATACCACCATCCATGGTGACCTAAGTAGTTAAGGAAAGTATCAAAATGAAAGGAAAAGTAGATAACTAGGCAAAGATGAGGTGGAGGTCAGACGAGTGGTCAGATTATAAAGAACAGCAGAGAATGATTAAAATTTAACCAGAACAAAAGAAATTAAGAGTATGAGAGGAAGCTAGGCAGAAATGTAAAAACAGCTCAATATCTACAGGCCCAGATAGACACTATCCACAGGTCTTAACAATTGCATTGTTAACAATTGCATTGATATTAATTTTCAAGAATTCACTCGATTCAGAAAAGGTTCCATCACATTGAAAAGTAGCAAAATTAACCTCTGTATTTAGTAAGGGGGGAGCAGAAAACTATAGGTGAGTTAGCTCAATGACTGTTATGGGGAAGATGTTAGAATTGACTTAAAAAATTATATCTGGGCACTTGTGAATATAGGGGAGCCTCTAAATGTACAATACTTTGTTTTCACAGGATACTTGGTAAGACGCCATATCAGAAGTTATTATAGAACAAATAGGCTCTTGAAATACATAGTAATATATTAGGATGGATAGAAGAAGGTTGGCTGGCAGAAAACAGAAAGGGGCCTCTGATTGGTAAGATGTGTCGAGTGGAAATTGTGCAGGGGTCTGTGCTGGTGCCTAAACCTTTTACAACTTACATCAATGAATTACATGAGGGGAGCGAAGACGTGGTAGCTACATTCAAAATAGAAAGACAGGTAGGAAAGTAAACTGCAAGGACACAAGCTAGTTGCAGACAAATATACACAGATTGAGCCAGCAAGCAAATATTACGCCACAGAGGGAGTGCGGCAAAGGTTCACTAGACTGATCCTTGAATGGCAGGACTGTCATTAAAAAAGTGGGTCAACTAGCCTTGTATTCACTGAAGTTTAGAAGAATGAGGGGCGATTTCACTGAAATGTGAATAATTCAACAACTCTGGACAAATGGATGCAAGGATAATGTTTCTCTTGGCTGGGGTGTTCTGAACAAATGGTCAGGATCTCAGGATACAGGATAGGCTAGTTAGGACTGATAAGTGAATAGATTTCTTCACTCAGAGGATGGCAAACCTGTGGAATTCAGTACCAAATAAGACTGTTACTGGGGAAATTTAAGGAAGAAATAGATTCATAGAAACTAAAGGCGTCGAAGGGGTACAAGGAGAACACGGGAGTATGACACAGATTGAGGAACAGCTGTGACCATGCCGGACAGTAGAACAGGCTCAGTGGACAAATGGCCTACTCCTAGTTCCTATGTTTCAGGTTTCTGCGTCTGAGTAAACTTTCAACACGTATTCTAAAATAAAATCATTAAAATAGTAGTGTGGAACAAAGAATATAGTATCAGAAACTGTAACTAAGTTGTTTGAAAAAACACACCTATAACATCAGGGAGTTTAACCACGGAATTTTACAACTACTTCTATCATACCAGAATGTTCTTTTTTGCATCTCTACTTCAGCAGCTTTTCTATCTTCAGGAGTAGAGACTTTCACTTGCCCAACCGCCTTCAAGTGAGCCGCTACAGACGATGATGCTAATTAGTAGAGGGAAATTGATGTGAGATTAGATCTATACAACTCAATTAAGAACAAAATCATGAAAAATGTGCAGAGCAATTCTTACCAAACACAGAGAGTTGTTCTTGTTTCAATGACTTTTTTTTCTCCAGCAGTTCAGAGTTAGCTTTTCCAGATCTTCCTTTTCTTTTCATATCCTCCACTCGTTTTGCAGAATTTGCAAGAAATTTATGTTTTTTCTTCAGAACTACTTCATTCAAAATCTTAGGAGGCGAGTCAAACTGAAATACCATAACTGGAAAAAAAAACTTAAATGTATTAAAATGAGCACATCCCCTCTTTATCCTGAAATACAAAGCTAGTTTTTGTCAGCAATTTAACAGAGGGATTAACCATTTTAAAAAACGGTTTAAATGCCTATTAAAACTCAATCATACCATACAGAAGAAACCCTTCAGGCAACTGAATCCATACAGCCACTATGCTGAATCTACACTATTCTCATTTTCCCACACTAGGTCCGTAGCCTTGATCGTTATGACACTTCAAGTGCTCATCCGAGTACTTTTTAAAAGGTAGAGCGGTTTCCTGTGTCGACTACTCTCACAGGCAGTGCATTACGTTCCATCCACACCCCTCAATCTTGTACACCTTTATCAGGTTCCCCTTCAACCTTCTCTGCTCCAAAGAAAACTTACATAGCCTCATTTTACAGCGAAAGTCCATCAAAGGCAGCCCATCATGGTGAATTTCTCCTGCAGTCCCTCCAATGCAATGACATTCTTCCCACACTGCAGTGGCCAGAAGTGCACACAGTACTCCAGCTGTAGCCTAACCGAAATCCTGTACAGCTCCATAATCTATGCCTCAACTGATAAAGGTAAGTGTCCCATATGCTTTCATAACAGTGGAGAAATAGTGGAATTGCATGTGAAAATGGCCAAACATTTAAACAGAAAAGTTAATTTGTTTGTTCATTAATTTGAAAGATTTTATACATTTGCATGAGAAGATTGTTTTGGCTCATGTCAAAAATTATTGCAGTTGCAGGGTTGTACATTTAGGAAAGGAGTGCTCATTGTCACAATTTTTATCTGAGAGATAGTAGTGTAGACAAGAAGTACAGCTCTACTAGGTTAGCTAGGACAGCACTGCAATTGTTGAATCAAAGCAATAAGGCTCAGGTAAGGCTTTTCACAGTAGACAGCGTCATACAGCATGGAAACTGATCCTTTGGTCCAACTCATCCATGCTGACCAAGTTCCCCAAAGTAAACTAGATCCACCTGCCTGTGTTTGGCCCATTCCCTCTCATTGTTCCTGTACATGTACTTGTCCAAATGTCCTTTAAATGTTGTAAATGTACTTGCATCTACCACTTCCTCTGGCAGTTCATTCCACATACGAACCACCCTGCATATGCAAAAGTTGCCCCTCTGGTGCCTTTTAAATCTTTCTCCTGTCACTTAAAAACAAATGCTCCCTAGTTTTGAATTCCCCACCCTAGGGAAAAGACCTGTTGAGGTGAAGTGATGGAGGAGGAAGTAGGGATTTTTTTTTTTTAAGAATAGAACTGGTATGTGGTCAGATGCTTAGCTTGTGGTGAACTAAGATACTGTGACTTTTAACAGTCAATCTAGCTAGAAACATGACTGAAGAGGATAATGGAATTAGTACATTCCGTACAGTTTGTGCTGCTGGATTTCTGTTCAATGTTTAGAGAAAGACATCCAAGATTGGATTATCATCATTGTCATTGGCCATTAGTGTACATGTGGGATTTAACCATGTCTGCAGATGATACAATCAAGGAGTATCAAGTAAATGAGGAAGGCAATATGGCCAAGAATTGATCCTTGGATACACTGGAGGTAACTGTGTAGAAGTCAGAACATACCATGGAAAATTCCCTAATTACGATCAGATAGGCAAACATGAAGCTGAGCCATGCAAAAATAAAGGCAAAGCATTGGAAGATTTAAAAGGCTACAGGGGATGATGAGGAGGAAATAAAGCAACAACAATCAGCAATATTATGTGATTTCAGTAATTTTGGTACTACAGAAAGGATGAAATTTTGATGGTAGGGATTCAAATAGATATGTAGTCACGTGTAGTCAAAACTTTTGGGGGATGATGGGGTGACATCTCTTGGTTAGACTGGGGAGGAAATCAAAAAGTAATTTGAAATTGTGTATGAATTGTAAGGTCATGGGTGTCAAGGGTGGAATTTCTGAGAAACAAGATATGCTCAAGAATAGCTCACTAATTATAACTTTATCAAGCATTTGGGATAAAGAGGACGATTGACATTTTAGACATTGAGCTGAAAGTTTGTCCCATGGACAAGGTTATCTTGGAGATAATATTTGGGAGATGAAAACCAAAGAAAAGAAGAGATAACTGGGATAAAAAAAAAGAGAGTTGGGTTTCAGGACTAGGACAGCAAGAAAACAAGGCAGAAGAATAAAGACCTGTACACTGCTGACACAGTAATGTATTAAATCTTCATACTGCTTTTGAAAGGTTAATGATGCAAGGAAAAGGGAAGAATACAGACAGCGAAAATGTCAAGCATTTTGACATGGCAGGAGATGCATTGTCCCCAGAATAGAAACTTGTATTAAGAGTAATAAATGATATGTCACTGGCAGTAGAGACACAGACACCAGGATTCTAATACAATGGTCATGCATGAAAATCTCATTTGTTCTTAAGGAACTGATACATTTGAGCAATCTCAATCCATTTCTAATGGCCATGAACAAATCTCCCAATGTTAAGCCCACTTTGAAGCGATAGATCACAGGATAGCTACTGCAAAAGCAGAAAAATGCTCCAGTCAGTAAAGAAAGGGAGGTGTTGGACTGCTTTCTGGTTCTATTTTCGTTCACTACTTAAGACTGACATCAGTTGCAATAACCTTAAAATCAGTTCTTTAGTGCATTCAGCTTTAATGCATTCATGTTACACAATCCAATGTTTGTACTCCCAGTCAAATCATACAACATCATTCCAGTTACATAATCCTTTGCTGTAGAGTTCACAATTCAATCCAGAGTTTGGGTAACAAGTTTCAACATTCCAACCAAACTACAGGGAAAAAAAAGGCTTGCGCTAAACACATATCAATTCTAGCTTTTAATCCTTACTTTTTACACATATCAACACTAATTCATAATGCATTCTAAAACACACAATGCAGACCTCAAGAAAGACACAGCAAAGAAGATACAATCATTTTGATCAATCATTCCAATGCTTTCATTACTGCTGTAAGTATAGTGGCCTCTTTCTGCACTGTTGGGATTGTATGACTCTAAGAAACTATGTCTACTTTTTCAGCACCTTGTCTTTATGAAACATCCCAATTCACAGAACTGAAAACTTTTTAAACCCATTATGTGCTAATCCCATGAACAAAGAGGTACATTCAAACACATGGCAAGACAGAAATCAAGTCCTCACAGGACACTCCTCTGAGGCTCTGCTGTCTGTGATGGAGCAATGTTGTTGGGGGGAGAAAAGTCTTTAAATCTATGCCTATTCTGGAAATATCTGATATTAACACTGAGTGCTCATAGAAAAATACCCATTTCACAGCACTAATATCATTCAAACTCAGGCCATTTGGCTCATCATGCTTGCGCTGGTCAACTAAAATTTGTATACACTCATTCCATTTTCCAGCTCTTGGCCCATAGCCCTGGAGACAGCAACAACACAAGTGAATCTCTAAATACTGTTTAAACGTCGAGTTTCTGACTCAACCACCCTTTCAGGCAGTGAGTTCCAGACTCCCAGCACCCTCAGAGTTAAAATATTTCCCCACAACTCTCCTCTAAGTATTCTACCTCTTAGCTTAAATTTATGTCCCCTGGTTATTGATCCCTCAACTGATTTTTAAAAAAAGCGCTTTCCTACACATCTTATCCATGCCTCTCAAACTTATACACCTCTATTAGGTTTCCTCTTAAACTTCACTGCTCAAAAGGAAAACAATACCAGCCTATCCAATCTTTCCCCATAGCAAAGACACTCCAAACCAGACGTGATAAATGTTCTTTGTACCCTCACAAGTGTAAACTCTTGCTTTCTGTAATGGATTGCACGCAGGTCTCCAACTGCAGCCGAGCCAGCATTTTATACGTCAATGATAGCTTCCTGCTCTTGTTTTCTATGCCCCAGCTCAAAGGCAAATATTCCATTATGTCTTCTTAACCACGTTACCTACCTGCCCTTCCAGCTTCAGGGATCTGTGGATACGTTCCTCTGATCTTCATCCGGCATCATACTATTTGTAGTGCAATCCATTACCTTTTTAACTTTCCCCAAGTGCATAACTTCATATTTCATGTCACTTCCCTGCCCAGCCACGCAGTCTTTTGATATCATTCTGTAGTTTATACCTATCCTCCTCACTATTTAGCACTCCACCAAATTGTGTCATCCACAAACGTCTTGATCACACCCCGTACATTTAAGTACACATCATATGTACAACACAAACAGCAAAGGCTCCAGAATCAAGCCATTCAGAACCCCTGCGGAAGCAGGCTTCCAATCACAGAAACATCCCTCTGCCATCATTCTCTGTTCTTACCCCTCAGCCAATTTTGGAACCAACATGCCACTTTGCCTTGGATCAAATGGACTCTTACCTTTTTGACCATTCTGTCATGAGGGTAATTACCAAAAGCTTTGCTAAAGTCCATGTAGACATCAACTGCATTTCACTGACCAGCACTTCTGGTTATCTCAAAAAATTGAAAATACTCTACTATTATTGACTTATTATTCATACACTTCTCTGAAATGAGACTTAAAATTTGAACCTCTTATCTCTCTCCTACTTTGTGTGTGTGGGGGTGGGGATGCGGGGTGGGGCTATATTACAACAGCATCTTTACTCTTTTTTCCAATTTTTTATATCTATCATATGGCTATAATTGACGATCCCTTCTCACTGCTTATAATGTATTCCTTGATCAATATTGTGACCTCCCACTCTAACCTCCCCCTCTCCATCTCATCAAATCCTCTATAACCAGTAATATTGAGTTGGCATTCCTGCTCAAATTTCAGCCAAGTCTCTGTCTATGATATGGTATCATACTTGTACATGCCTCTGAGTCCTCAGCTCATCCACATTACTCCTTAGGCTTCTTGCAATAAAATATATTCTATTTAGCCCTGATAAACTTATGACTTTTATTTTAAGCTCAGCCTGTGTTTCTTCTACCTTCCAGTCTCACTTATTAGTTTAACTTCTGACTTAATCTCAGCCGCTCTTCCC